AAACGAACACTTCTGTTCCACATCAAAACTGATTTTTATTTATATTTTTGTCCTAATGTTGAAAGCTCAGATTTTCTAAATATACTAAATATATATAGTATAGTAAAATCTAAATACACCCATAACTTCTGGCTACCTAGCACCGTCCCATATTCTTAATAGGGTGTGTGGTCACATTATGCACATCTCGTGTGACGCGCACAGACCCCTGTTAATAGGGTTCGTGTAACCCCGTTACAATCCCACTTTACTTATATAAGCATAGCAACATCCAGCTTTTACTTGCATTAACATAGCATTGTCCATTTCAATTGCAATGATTATATCTCTTGATTGGCTAAGTGCTAGAAGAGAGATTGAAGATGTCACGTACGAGCTGCTGTATTGATCGAGGAGATTACAGATGCTGTTTATTACGCTTATAGAATTGTGGTGGGGTCGTGGAGCTGATCAGTGTTTGAAGACAAATTGCACTGGCTATATGATGTACAAAACGTTACAGCTCTTCAAGTGAGCACGAGTAATCGGGGAAGATTATTGTGTAAAGTGATGTGTAACAGGGTTGCACGACCCTTGTATGAAAGGGCGGGTCACACAAGATGGTGTGACCATACATAGGTGTGTATTACACAAGTTAGTGTAATCACACAATGGTGTGACCACATCATAAAGAGAAGGCACTACGTGGCAGAACTGCCAGTAGATTGCATATTAATTGGGTTCTACTGTTTTTATTAGGCATTAACAAATTAATTAAAATAATCTAAGGTCTTAGATATTGGCGGATCAAAAACAATGAAATAAAGTAAAAATTTTGAACGGTAAAGCGTCTTTACCTTGGTTAGGTTTTAAGTACTCTTGGATGTAGTGGATTGCGATCCGCTACACTCGTACTGGTTCTTGATATAACGTAAGGTCGGTGACCTAAGCTTAGCTTCTTTCTAAGCAAAGACCTACGGCAGCCCCGCTGCAATTGGCAGCACTCGTAGTCAACCTACGCCTGAGGCGTTACGACTGATCCGCTGTGAGGATGGAGCGATAGTTCTATTTGCCAAAGGGCATGCAGAACGGGCTTAGTAAGCATTAGTGACCCCGTTAAACTCTACATCACTAAGATGTCCACACGGGAGAGCACACACTTTTGTCGTTTTAGGTCACATCACAAAAGTGAACGCTTGATATCGACACATTGCACTCCACCGTACCTGCTCCTGAACATCACTAAGCCTTGTGAGCCATCGGAACCAGCGTGGTCCTCGCCACCCCCCCCCATAAGCAGGACTCGGCGGTAATTCTTCATGTCCTGAAGCAGCACTCCGGCATCATTTAGAGACATATGGCCAAGCTGATCGCCGAGGACGGGGATTTCACTACTCTCAGAATCCTATCTGCACAAGTTTAGAGCTCTCTTCTTTAATTGTTCGGTGGGGTCGTATCGCGACACCCCACTGTAGAGCCCACGAAGATAGTCACCTTATCACCAATGGATCTGCCAACGTCATTTTTCACGACCTTATGATAAACAGATACCAGCAAATTTGAAAGAGCATCGAAGCATCAGTCTAAGTGCTTTGATTCGTCGCGATCAAGTGAATACCAATGTTAAGTGTTAAAGGCTCCAAAGCCCGCATCACTATCAACGGCAGCTGCTTTGATCGCTACATTGAGATATGTAATGGTGTGCAGAAGAAAGGTTCAGCTTTAGGCAAAGATCCCAAGTACTTGTATTGAATCACACTCAAGTTCCACGAGCATCATGCAAAAAACAAGCGAATATACTATACGTCACCACCTTAGTTTCAATATCAGGAATTTTTCTCAACCAGATTTGAAAAAATCATATATATATATATATATTCAAGCTACCACTGGGCATCTAGCACAACTTTTATAATCATTCGCAGCGTTAGGATGTCGGACACTTGCGCGTTGGCTAACCTTTGCGACCTCCGTAAAGACGATTAGAATGTTACTGGACGTACATGTCAGTAGAAAAATCCTTCTTATTGGGGTTATATCACTCCTATTTCACGTCGAGTACTAATAATGGTTTATTATCATGGTAGCTAATCATTCTTCGGATCAAAAACTTCGTAATTATTGATTTGTCATCATTTTAATGTTTTTTTATCTCGGTGATATTTATCCTTTCTATTGCCCGGTGGATTTGTTAGTATATTATGTGTGTTATGTGTTTAGTGCGAGATCAATTGCACTGAAGTTTATCGCGGCAACCAGCGATCAGTAATTTACGATTTGTATTCACTATCTAAGCGCACCTAGACTATCGAAAAGAGAACGTTTAGTGTTCTATGATTTCAATATAGATCCATGTGTAAAAGTATAGACTAGACCCCGTTCAGACAACCCAGCTTGCTTTTTGCAAGTGCAAGAGTTACGCTAACTCTTATCATAATCATCACGCCGTGACTACAGCTTCAAGTCAT